GGGGAGCTCTTTATGTTTCTGCCACAAACTCCATAAAAATTTCTTGCACATCTTATCCCCGTCCTCTAGGACCTCTTGTGCCCACCATCTATCCCCAATTATCGCGATCGTTTTTTCGCTGTTGTTTAATTTACCAAACTTGTCCATGTCACACCCTCTCTGTCTCATTTCCTCCTCGAGATCCTCTCTTTCCTTCTTGTACAACTCACACTCCCCAACTATGTGGGGTCTACTCTCCTCCGATTTGCCACATGGACATGTGTGTCTATCCTCCTCTTCCTCTCTCCTACGGCTGGTATACCTCTTCCTCCGTTCTGGCAAGTCCAGATCGCCTACTCGAAATTGCAATTTCAGCTTTTTCGCATTGTCCATGGGGCCGTCCAAGTACGTCTTCATCCCTATCCCTTCTTTCAACTTCCCGTATATCTCCAAGTGGTCTTCGCTTCGTACCTTCTTCCGAAGGGTTGCCTCCTCCCTACTCTCTAGCATCTCCTTGACTTTCGTCTTGAACCCCCCGAACCCTTCCGTGTCCAACGTCTCCTCCTCGTCTCCTATCTCCTTCCAAACCTTCTCTACCACCTTGTCCCATCTGATTCCCTTCATTCCTGGAGTCGCTTTTCCCCCAAGCTGCGTTGTCAACCATGGCTGGTAGTCTATCGTCCGACATTCTACTTACCTTGTACTGCCACTTCAACTTCTGCATGTCTCTCTTTGTTTTAAGAGAGTACATTCCCAATTCTGCTCTCAATACAGTGTTGCTCGTTGTACTTGAACATCCTAGTATTTTCTTGGCCGCTGCCATCTGCACCGTTTCCAGCTGCTTGACGGCCTTTTCGTTACCTTCCCATACCTCTCCTGCATACTCTAGCTTAGGTACAATCACATTCAAGAGAATACACCTCTTAATCCTAGTGTCTAGGTGTGGGTCCGTAAGGATCTCGTCCATCTTGCCTATCTGAGCTTTACCCTTCCCAATCAACTTCGCTATGTGTGCGTCCCATGAGCACTCCTTCGAAATCTCTACTCCCAGGTACGTATACTTGTCTACTACCGGTAGTTCTTCCTCCCCCCATTTCCATTTGAATTCTACGGGATTTTTCTTGTCTTCGTTACAGACCACTACTGCGCATTTTCCTACGTTCGCCGACAGTCTCCATTTTCGGGTGCATCCTACCGCCGCATCTATTTGTTCTTGCAACCCTTCTGGTGTTTCGGATACCCCCACGAAATCATCTGCAAACATCAGTCCGGACACACTCTTTCCCCCTACTTGGACTCCCTGTCTTACTGCTTCAACCGCCCTTATCAAACCGTTGATGTAAATCTTAAAAAGAGTGGGTGACATCGTACAGCCCTGTGCGACTCCTTGGAGTATATCCACGTACTTCGAAATTTCCCCATCCAACATCACCGCACTTCTTGTGCATTCTGTCATATTTTTCAACATCCTCCACATTTTCCCCCGGATGCCGATGTCCCACATCTTTTTCCACAATCCATTGCGCCATACGGTGTCGTAGGCTTTTTGTACATGAGGAAAAAACAGCACGTCGTACGCCCGGCGTCTTTCCTACCTTGGATGATTTTACTCAACGTATATACATGGTCTACACAACTACGATCTGGTCTAAATCCAGCTTGTCCTTCGCTGATCTTTTGTTTCCCCTCCAACATGTCTCCCATTCTGTTGTCTAGCATCTTGCCAAACAGTTTCCCCACTGTGCTCAGCAGGGTTATCCCTCTATAATTCCCCGGGTCAGCTTTATTCCCCTTTTTGAACAGGTTCACGACTACTCCTTCTCTCCATCTCTTTGGCTACGTGTTTCCATATCCAGTTGAATATCCGGACCAACATGTTAATCATCCCCTCCCCCCCCTGTTTCAAAAGCTCGTTCACAATTCCATCAGCCCCTGCCGCTTTTCTATTCTTGAGTTTCGCTACGCAGTCCTCTACCTCTTCTCGTGTGAACTCTCCCTGCAACCCGTCTACATCACTACGTTCCCTCCGAGATCTTTCAACGTTTTCCTCTGCCCAGGAGTTGATTTCCTTCTCAAAATCCGAGTCGAAGTTGTCGTTGGTGGTGGGTGTCCCAAGTTTGCGGTAGTGCTCTACTAGTACTTCCCTCTTTCCTCGAGAACTGCTGACCATCTTACCCTCGGCAGATCTTAGTGTCGTTATTTCCGTGTCTCCCCCTCTCTTCCTGCCCACTATCCCTTGAATTCCTACCCACATTTGCTTCATCCCCCCCTCAAAATCTTCGTTAGTCTTTTGGACTACTTCCTCCCACAACCCTTTCTTCTTCTTCACGACCAACTCCTTCACCCTCTTTCTACTTTCAACATACTCCTTCCATCCTGCATCTGTTTTCCCTGCCGCATATTTTACGTGTGACTCTCTACGTACTCGGGAGGGGGGGGGGGGGGGGGGGGGAGTTTTTTTTCAGGGAA